CATGCTTGTAGCCGCCACCACTTCCTGTGGCAGTGAATTCCATGTGTTAATCACTCTTTGGGTGAAGAAGGACTTCCTTTTATCCGTTCTAACCCGACCGCTCAGCAATTTCATGGACTGCCCACGAGTTCTTGTATTGTGAGAAAGGGAGAAAAGTACCTCTTTCTCTACCTGCTCTTTCCCATGCAGGTATGGATGAATGAACATTAACTCGGTATGTGGCAGCTACTAGAATAAAGCAGTATCTATACTAACAGAGGGAATAAGAATGGCTATCACCATGCCTTTGTTATAGAAATACATGGTGTGGATTTATTTTGATAACACGAGACCATATGCGTTTTGGCCTCAAGGGCCATTTGACTTCAACTGCTGGTGGATGACACACACCTCCAGAAATATTGGAAACCTTAAACCAGATTATTACATCAGTGGAGATTTATGGGTGAGTGCAGCTACCATGTGAAGATATCCATGGCCTGCTTTTATACGTTTGCATCATACCTCTCAGTTTATGAGATAACAACACCTGGTCAGTTCTAGATATAATATTTTTTTAACGTGTGTATTATTGACCACTGAGGCCCTTCAGGCCAAAACATGTATGGTCTTGTGTTGGTCATTTGACATGTTCATCAACAGGGTATGGGAAATTATTACGGTTTACATAAAGCTTGTTTTGACTTGAATTCAGCCTGCTATTCAGGCCCTAGGTTTTTTAATTTACTGTTGTGTCCACCATATAATAAATATTTATTTTGATAGTGTTTTATCTATTGTAGCTTGACCTTTGTAGCATTATCAGCATATTATGGGTTGTTTTCCCTTTTTCTTTCATTTGTGGATTTATTTTGAATAATGGAATAAATTCTGGTCGCCCCATTCTCCCCCCCCCCCAAAGATATTCTATGGCTGTGAGAATAGGGCAAACAAGTGTGCAGAGCACTAGGAAGTGTAGCATAGTGGTTAAAGTGTAAGGGGTAGGATCTGGGAGACCCAGGTTCGAATCCCCATTCTACCATGGAAACTCACTGGGTGACCTTGGGCCAGTCATGCACTTGCAGTCTAACCTATTTATTTGTGTATTACTTATTTATGAAAACATTTATATCCTGCTTTTTTTCTTGGTTCAAGAGGAAACCTACCGCACTGCATTATTTTTTTAGATATATGTTTTTATTTTACCAAACAAAATAATAACGTAAAAGGGGTATAGAAAGGAAAAGAGGGGTTGTATGGAGACTATGAAACAATTATATTTACACAGGATATATTAAATAAAGAGATAAGGGGTTCCTTCTCCCCAACATCTCTACTGCCCATCAGCTTCATCGGAGGCCCTTGAGTTCGTTGTCAGCTCTCTCCACCCCATGCATAATTTTATAAATCTCTATCATGTCCCCTCTTAATCATCTCTTTTCTAAACTGAAAAGTCCCAGACTCTTCGACCTTTCTTCGTAGGGGAGGTGCTCCAACCCCCTCATTCATCTCGAGGCTCTGCAATGTCCTTTTTGAGATACGGGGGCCAGAACTGTACAAAGTACAATATTGGCCGTTTTATTCTCAGTCCCTTTCCTAATACTCTCTAACACAGAGTTTGCCTTTTTCACCGCCGGGTTGACGCTTTCACTGAGCTGTCCACTATGACCCCCAAGATCGTTCCCCCTCTCAGTCTCAGCAAGTTCAGGCCTCCATGTCCTTTGCAGGTGTTGGAACGAGACCAGCCAAGCATACCAGGCCATCGCTTCCTCATGACGGAGCAGAAGCCGTGTCCGTGCAGCCGGATCAGGTAGGGGAGGGATGATTGGGCGATGCTCAGGGCCCAGCTTCCACACGTTTTCGTGGACTTAGAAAGAAATCTGCGTTTTCCCCTATGTTTCTCTCCAAGCCCCCACGAGGAAGGGCTGGGAAGGCCACCCTGCAAGGCCTTTGAATCCTGTTGGGAAACATTGATTCCCTTCCCGTTAATCAGTCCTTTGGCTTGTTCTCTTTTTGGGAAAGGATTATCACGTCACCTCTGGGGGGACGACACCTTTTCTCCTTCTCATCTGTATCGTCAGCTGTCTTGAGCTCCGTAATGTAAGAAAGGTGGCTAGGAAACGTTTAAAATAAACGAATAAATAACATAAATTCTTTCAGGGCCTGCTGTCCTTTGAGGATGTGACTGTGGATTTCACTGTGGAGGAGTGGACGCTGCTGGATCCAGGACAGAGAGCCTTGTATGTCGAAGTCATGCTGGAGACCTGCGGGAGTGTGGCCACCCTAGGTAAGCCGCCTGCTCTCCCCTTGGTTGGTAAAAAAAAATCTGGCCTCGTGTAGATCTGTTATCTGGAATCATTCGTGCATCATTAACTCATTGTGTGTCAAGTGGGTGCTTTAAAAAGGTAAAGGTTCCCTTGCTCGAAAGCCAGTCAAATCCGACTCTAGGGTTGCGGTGCTCATCTCCGTTTCCGAGCCGAAGAGCCAGCGCTGACCGAAGACGTTTCCATGGTCATGTGGCCGGCATGACTAAACCCCAAGGCGCACGGAACGCTGTTACCTTCCCACCGAAGTGGTCCCTATTTATCTACTTGCGATTTCTTGCTTTCAAACTGCTAGGTTGGCAGGAGCTGGAACTAGAGACGGGAGCTCACTCCGTCATGCAGCACCCGGGTCTCGAACTGCTGAACTATCGACCTTCCACAGCCTGCAGTTCAGCGTCTTAACCACTTGAGCCACCGCAGCTCCAGTGGGTGCTTTACCACTGAGCTGAATGCAACTCTCTGTGGTCCACTGCCAATGTATTTATTTATTTTACTTCATTTATGCCCCACCTTTTTCCCCCAGTGGGGACTCAAAGCAGCTTAACTTCGTTTTCTTCCCCTCTGTTTTATCTTCAGAACAACCCTGTGAGTTAGATTAGGCTGGAAGTGTGTGACGGCCCCAAGGTCATCCAGAAAAGGTCCCTGACAGGTCGATGAGTCGAACGGTGGTCTCCCAGCTCCTAGTTGGACTCTTACCACTAACTACCGTGTCTTTGTATATAATCTGTGTATTGTAATAAGATTAATTTTATTCAAATGTTTTTTTTTTAATTTAAAACATTTTAATGCTGTCTTTGCACCTAAATAAGAGTCCCCAAGGTGTTGAACATCAAAACATCTGAATGTTAAATATAAAATGATTCAATAAAATGTATAAACTCAGAACTGTTTTACAGTTTCGTCCATGCAACAGCAGCTACTGAGACTGATTCAAAGCTCCATTTCTTTCTCCAAGCTCCAAAAACAAAACAAAGCCAAGGACCATCACCTAATCTTGTGAGGTTATCATCAGTTAGTAATAATAATAAAAGTTACCAAACCTCTGCTACCACGTCCCTTCGAATGAGTTTTGGTCGCAGGCATGGAAAGGACCCTAAAACCCTGCATAGATGGAGAGTCAGGATTCCTGAAGACAGAATATATCGTAACCAATGTTCCCTCTAAGCTATGGAGACTTGTGAGCAAAAATTCTACTTTGAGCTACTGGCATTAAAGCAGTAAGTGAGCGATTTGGCTACTGCATAAATCAGTTTGCTCTGGAGCCCTCCTTCCTGAGCTGAGACAAAAATTTGTGAGCTGGAGGCTAAAAAACTCTGAGCTAGCTCACACTAACTCAGCTTAGAGGGAACACTGATCATAACTAGAGGGAAACGTTAAAAAATCAGAGTCATAGAGCTCATTGCTCCAGCCTCTCAAGTTCCAAAATAAGAACTTAGTTGTCATTCTGCAGCTGATAGTTTGTTTAAGTCACCCTCGGTATGTATGTATGTATCTACCTACCTGTCTGTCTGTCTATCTGATTTGGTTTATACCCCGCCCTCCCCACCAAAGTAGGCTCAGGGCGGCTTACAGACCTGTCATATAAATGTTACAACAATAAAACAAATTAAAATCATAAAACAATTTGTAAGGTGCTACATTTCTCCGATGGCGGAATAACTGTTCTTGATCACCATACACAGTGGGGAATCTAGTCAGCAATAGATGTAAGGCTTGTGTCCAGCTCCGTAGCATGTAGTTCATTAACATAGACACAGATGTTAAACACATGCACAAGAGCAGGCAACCAAAGATAGATTACAGGGCAGAGGTTCCTCGGTTGATGTTAGACTATTAGAAGCAGTACCTCAGTCAAATGCTTGATGGAAGAGCTCTGTCACATCCATTTTTGTGTGATTTGATTTGTCATTTGGAGGAGGGCAAGGAGCTGTTCCAGGTGGCAGCAGAGGATAGGACCCAAAGCAACAGGTTTAAATTACAGGCAGAAAGGTATTAGCTGGACATTAGGAAAAACATTTTCACGGTCAGAGTGGTTCAGAGGTGGAATCAGTTGCCTAGGGAGGTGGTGAGCTCCCCTTCACTGACAGCTTTCAAGAAGAGGCTGGACGAATCTTTGTCAGAGATGCTTTAGGCTGGTCCTGCAGTGGGCAGGGGGTTGGACTAGATGGTCTGTATGGCCCCTTCCAACTCTGATTCGATGCCGCTTCTTCCAGGATTTTGCAGTTCTTATTGGACTCTTGGAAGTTGTTGGACGTTTTAGTTTCAAGTATAAAAACCTCTTCCTTTTGTCTGTCCTGAACCAACTGCCTCATTTCACCGGGTGATTGTGAATTTGGTTTTGATCTTCTGTGTGTTCTTGACTCATCAGGTGATGAAGGAAAGACCAAAAAGGAAGGGCAGCCCCCCGTGACATTGTCGAAAGGAGTCAGATGTAAAGAAGAAGAACTGCCAGGAAGGGAAACAGAAGCAAAACTGCAGAAGTGGAAAAAATCTGGTGTAGGTCAAGGCAACAACAGCCATGAAATCCCAGCTCGAAGCCGGCTAGGCCAAGCGAAGGAAAAGAGTCAATGCCCGGTGTGTGGGAAAATCTTCAATTTTAAATCCAGCCTGAATGCTCACTGGAGAATGCACAAGGTCGATAAACCATTTGAGTGCCTGCAGTGTGGGAAGCGGTTAAGCACCACAGCAAGCTTTAAGACCCATCAAAGAATCCACACAGGGGAGAGACCATTTAAATGCTCAGTGTGTGGAAAGACCTTCAGCCAGAGCTCGGCTCTCACTTCCCATCTGAGAATCCACACGGGAGAGAAGCCGTACAGCTGCTCAGAGTGCGGGAAGAGCTTCAGCCAGAGCTCGGCTCTGACTTCCCATCAAAGAATCCACACAGGGGAGAAACCATATCCATGCCTGGAGTGCGGAAAGAGCTTCAGTAAGACAACTGACCTTACAAGGCACCTAAGAATCCACACGGGGGAGAAGCCGTACAAGTGTTCAGAGTGTGCCATGAGTTTTTCTCAAGGGGGTAGCCTCAAATATCATCAGAGGCTGCATCTGGAGGAAGAGCCCTATAAGTGCCTGGAGTGTGGGAGGAGCTTCAGTAAGAGTACAGACCTTACCAGACACCAAAGAATCCACATGGGTGAGAAACCATTTAAATGCTCTGTGTGCAGCAAGAGTTTCACTCAGCGCTCAGTCCTTATCTCCCATCAACGTATCCACACAGGGGAGAAACCATTTCCGTGCCTGGAGTGTGGGAAGAGCTTCATTAAGAATTCAGACCTGACAAGGCATCAAAGAATCCACACGGGCGAGAAACCGTACAAATGTTCTGAGTGTACCATGAGTTTTTCTCAAGGAGGGAGCCTTAAGTATCATCAGAGGTTGCACCTCGAGGAAGAAACATATAAGTGCTTGGAGTGCGGGAAGAGCTTCGGCCAGAGTGCGAGCCTAGCTTCTCATCAAAGAGTTCACATCGGACTGCAGAAATACCTGGACGATGAAAAGAACTTCGGATGGGGCGCGGACACAAATGGCTTGACAATCACACCTAGTATGGAAATAATCAAACTCGAGATTCTCTGACCAATCAAATCTTTGTAGGCAACCCCGAATGCACACAAAGGAGAGACTGTGTAAATACTCAGATTTCTGTAAACTGAGTTCCCTGTAAAAAACAAACAAACACAAATTAGTCCAGGAAGAAGAAGAGTTGGATTTATACCATGCCCTTCACTCAGAGTGGCTTACAATCTCCTTCCTTCCCTCTTAACCACTACACCAACCTTCAGTGGAAGCCAAGATTTCAGAACAGCTTCATCATTTGGTGCACGCATGGTTGCCTGTGGTGAATCTATCCTGCCTCCCCACCACCGAGCAAATCTCCATGTGATCCGCATATGTAGCTATCATTGGAAAGGGAGAAAAGCACTGAAAACTATTTTTACGAATGCAAAAGGAACCTTCCTGGATCAAACCCAGGATCCAGGATCCTCTCTCCCTCAGTGACCATCCAGATGGCCACAGGAAACCTTCAAGTAGGGCATTAGATTAACAGTCCACCCTTATTTTTTTAACCCATGGGCCACTTCTGTTAAAAATGACATTCGTTGTGAGTCTGGAGGTTCCACCAGCGATTCATGCTAGGACCCGCCGATAGACCTTGCCATGAATTTGCCCAACCGGTCACTCATCACCACCTCTTGGGGGCAGTGAGCCCACAAATTAGGTTCCTCATGACAAGACACACACAGAGACTCCTTCACACAATGTATGATACATTTACAGAAGTCGCTGCAAGAGGTGGAGGCGGGCCCTCGTTTAGATGATGAGTAAACTCGCAAATAACTAGTCAACCTATAGCCCTCAGCCATTGGGATTTAAGCATGGAGGCTCCATGCTTAGAGTCAGTATATCCCTGAATATCAGCGGAGGGAGAATACTTGCATGAAGCCACTGGTTGGAAACACGATGGAAAACTAGTGGGATCTTCAGTAGGAACTGCTAGGACATTTCTTAAGGTTTTGGAGCAGTATTTTGTGCTTGGATTTGGAAATGGGGAGACGGTGAATGCCAGTATTTTAAGTAATGTGTTTGCTTTGCTCAGTTTAAAGGTGTTCTGTATTCTCCATTATAAATAGTAGCTGACTTGAGGTGTAAAATTGTTTTTCACACTTCAAGGAAACCACGTGGTTCACTGCCTTGCAAATGCGACAGCTGTGTTGGACATCGAGTCTTGAAAACACTTGAGATAGTATGTGCCCAATGCGTAGATCTAGAATAGTGTGTCTAATTTCCCCTTTCCATCTCCAGGGGGGAGGAAGCCAATGGGAACTTTGTATAATATTAATGTGTTGCTTCAAATCCCGTATTGGGTGCACCTTTGGAGGAACGCTTTCACGTGAGAACGATTTTTCAGATGACGGTTTTATGTTTAGTGCAAGCTCATGTCTCGTTTAACTTGAATGTTCCTGAGAACTCAGAACACAGAGCTACAATAAAAGGTTTATCTTTGCTGTTACTTATTGACGGTGGTTGGGACTAATTGGTGCTGGGGGTTTTGAAAATGCTTTTTCCGTGATCTGCACAGAAGTGCAGTCACTACGTTGCTGTGTTCTTCCTGGCTGTCACTGGAGGGAAAATGGAAGTACTCTGCCACTAGGTGTCCCTGTTCTCCACCTGTCCCAGTGCTGCTGACAGTTTCCTGATGCTTTTCTGAGCTCTCTTCCACACTAGGGGCAAATCACAGCTCGGAACTCTCAGGTTTTCATGATCTGACAAAGGTACAGATCATGAAAACCTTTATGGTCAGGGTCCAGCCTACCTGAGGGACCGCCTTACCTCACATGTTCCCCCAAGAGCACTTCGGTCAGGGGCCCAAAATCTCTTGGTTATACCGGGCCCCAATGATGTCAAACTGGCCAGGACCAGGGCTAGAGCTTTTTCGGTGGCGGCTCCTACCTGGTGGAATGAGCTCCCGGGGAAGATCCGGGCCCTGCAGGACCTTGAGCACTTCCGCAGGGCCTGCAAAACGGAGCTCTTCCGCCAGGCTTTTGAGTAGGAGCCACCGCCCTACTATACCACCACCGTCAAGACATCTGAATGGATGCATTGACGGGGCCCCAGGAAGAACTTGGAATTACATCAGAAACGCCGTCGCCACTGGATATGTACGCTGAGAATACCAGCTCGAGTCGTGGGGATACCATCTTGGATCTAGGACACTAGTAACTGGATAGTGCACTTTAGTCTTAGTTTTGATGTTTTATTATATTTTTATATGTTTTTACTTATGGCTAGACTAATGATCTGGCCTCTGTTAGCCGCCCTGAGCCCACTGGGGAGGGCGAGATATAAGTGTGAAAAATAAATAAATAAATACAGTGAGCAGACTTACATCTGCCATGCACAGTGGTCATCAGCCACTTCAAAACATCACACGGTCCAGATCCTGTTGTTTTTCAGGTGGCTAGCTGTGGTTGTTCTTTACTAGAAGAGCAAGATTTGAGTCGAGTAGCATTTTAAAGACCCACAAGCTTTCAAGAGTGGAAGCTCCCTTGGTCAGACGAAGAGAGCTTTGACTCTACGCCCTGGAAATCTTGTTGGTCTTTTAGGTGCTACTGGACTCAGATCTGGTTGTGTGTGCTCTCTTAATGGTGTGGCCATGTCGAAAAACCCTTGTTTAGTAACTAACACTTGGAACTCACTGCCGCAAGAAGTGGTGGCGACTACAAGCATAGACAGCTTCCAGAGGGGATTGGATAAACATCTGGCCAGAGGTCCATCAGTGGCTATAAGCTGCAAGGTATAGATGGAACACTCTGTCTGGGGCAGTGATGCTCTGTGTTCTTGGTGCTTGGGGGACAACAGTGGGAGAGCTACTGGAGTTCTGGCCCCGCTGGTGGACCTCCTGATGGCACCTGGGTGTTGGCCACTGTGTGACACATTGGGTGCGGTAAGACGGCGTGCTGGGAGCGGTTTAAATTGCACCACTCCGGCCCCGATGCCTTTTTTTTTTAATATGGAGAATCACGATCACACTCACTTCCTTGCTCCAGATCGCTGAGCAGCCACATCGCTCCCCGCTGTCCACAGGTGGGAGCGTGCGTCGGTGTTTCTTCTCTCTCAGTTTGGGCATGCGCACAGGCGGCCATCCGTAGAACTAAAATTTTCGTGCATGCGCAGAACAACAATTTCCACTTCAACCCGACTGCTGTAACACTTCCCTTTAAACTTTAAAGGAATACTTCCCTTTAAACGTTTACCCCAAAAATGGCCTCCGTGAGATCCCGAACGCCTCTAAACGCTAAAACTAGGCACCGTTTAAACATTGTTTTTAATAATGCGGTGGTGGAGCTCCGCCTATGCACACACCTCCAACGCTTTTTTTTAGAATGGCGGGCAAAAAGCGGAAGTCTTGGGCAGCTTTCGAGCAGGGAGGGGGTTTAAACCGGAAGTAGCTCGACACCGGAGGAGCGATCACACGGGGAAAATGCGGCTGGAAACGGAGAATCAGAAAAACACCACCTGGGGACCTGGTAACAAAATACTCCGGTTTAAAGGGGATTTGAGCTGGAAAGCGACGGCTGGGGATGGGAGGCAGATGTTGACTGTGTGATCGCGCATATAAAATGTGACTCTTACACATATTGTGTGGCTCCCGACAGGGCAGTGGGGAAGCTAAATATCATTAGCAGACAAATATCATTGGACAAATAAATATCTTTATCAATATCTGCTTTTACCCCTTTTGTTATTATTTTTGGCAGTCTCATTTAATGTTGATAGAAAGCAAAGTTGCATATTTTCCAATGTAAACTTGTAATATCTGTTCATGTCTTGTGGCTCTCAAACATCTGATGTTTATTCTAGGTGGCTCTTACATTAAGCAAGTTTGGCCACCCCTGCTTCAGACCAACACGGCTACCCACCTGAATCCACCCTGCTTGAATCAGTCTAACCCTCTTTTAAAGCCACCTGTGCCTGTGGCTATCCCGGCACCCTCTGGCAGCGAATTCCCTTGTTAGGTAAATAAATATTGCCATTTGTCCATCCTGAATGGACTGCAAATCAGCCACATTGGGTGAAGAAGAAGAAGAAGAGAGAAGAGATTGGATTTATACCCCTCCCTTCACTACCCAAAGGTGTCTCAGAGCGGCTTACAAACTCCTTTCCCTTCCCCTCCCCACAACAGACATCCTGTGAGGTAGGTGGGGCTGAGAGAGCTCTTGACAGAAATGGCTCTTTTTCAAGGACAGCTGTGCCAGAGCTTGTGACTGACCCAAGGTCACATCAGCAGGGTGCCCTCTTCCTGACGTAATTCAGGAAGATTCTTCGGGTCAAATGTCAGAGAGATAGGACAAATGGCCTGAGGTGTGTGAGAAACAGAATTCTGCAACATTACAAAGGAAGGAATGCGGTTTTCCAGATCTGGCTGAACTTCAGCTCCCACCGAAGTAGGGATGCCAACCTCCAGGTTGGACCTGGGGACAGTGTTCCCTCTAAGCTGAGTTAGTGTGAGCTAGCTCACAGTTTTTTTAGCCTCCGGCTCACACATTTATGTCTTAGCTCAGGAAGGAGGGCTCCAGAGCAAACTAATAAATGCAGCAGCCAAGCCGCTCGCTCACCACTTCAATGCCAGTTGCTCACCAAGTAGAATTTTTGCTCACAAGACTCCGCAGCTTAGAGGGAGCATTGCCTGGGGACCCCACAGAATTACAGCTCCTCTTCAGACATCAGTTCCCCGGGAGAAAATGGATGCTTTGGAGGGCAGAGTCTAGGGTATTGTACCTCACCGAGGTCCCTGTCCTCCCCAGGCTCCTTCCCCAAATCTCAAGGAGTTTTGCAATCTGGTTGGATCTGGCAACTCTAACCCACCACCCGTGGCTAGGAAGACTCTGGAAATCCTACACTGAAATTAATATATGCCAGAGGTGGCCAAACTTGCTTAATGCAAGAGCCACGTAGAATAAACATCAGATGTTTGAGAGCTGGAAGACATGAACAAATATTAAGGTAAAGGTAAAGGTTCCCTTGCTCGAAAGCCAGTCGAGTCCGACTCTAGGGTTGCGGTGCTCATCTCCGTTTCCAAGCCGAAGAGCCAGCGCTGTTTGAAGACGTTTCCGTGGTCATGTGGCCGGCATGACTAAACATCAAGGCGCACGGAACGCTGTTACCTTCCCACCGAAGTGGTACCTATTTATCTACTTGCAGTTTCTTGCTTTCGAACTGCTAGGTTGGCAGGAGCTGGAACTAGAGATGGGAGCTCACACCCTCATGCGGCACACTCGGGTCTCGAACTGCTGAACTACCGACCTTCCACAGCCTGCAGTTCAGAGTCTTAACCACTTGAGCCACCGCAGCTCCAGAACAAATATTACACGTGGTTTTATTGAAAAATATGCAACTTTGTTTTTTTAAAAAATTGAAATTAAATGAGACTGCCAGAAATAAAAACAAAAGGGGTCAAAACAGATATAACTTTAAGTGTGTCCTCCAGCCCCACTCACCCATCTCCCGCTGGCTGGCTTGGCAAAGGGATTTAAAGAGACAAATGCCTTCTCTCAAGCCGGACTGGGGGGGTGGCGGCGGCGGCGACTTTGAAAATGCATTTAAAGTTGCTTCCTTTATCTGCTCCCCCCCCCACACACACACCTCAAGCCTACCCAGCGAGGGGAACACTGGCTGTGGAAGGGAAGACTGATTGTGGAGATATGCCTCCCCTTTGCTTCCGGAGCCGCACAATATGTGTGAAAGAGCCACATGTGGCTCCCGAGCCACAGTTTGGCCACCCCTGATATATACCATAATATATTTCCATGAAGGGAGATCTATGAGAAAAGCACAAGGACAGTAACGCTCAGGGCTCTTTTTGTAGAAAAAGCCCAGCAGGAACTCATTAGCATAATAGGCCACACCCAAAAGCAGGAACTCATTAGCATATTGGGCCACACCCCTGACAGCACAGCTCATTGACACATTAGGCCACACCCCCATTTTACCAGAAGTGTGGTCATCCAGCCACACCCACCTTTTGCTTCTTATTCTGTTTACCTTGTTTGTTGTCAAAACCCAGGGCTTTTTTTTATAGCAGGAACTCCTTTGCATGTTAGGCCACACACCCCTAATGTAGCCAATCCTAATGAGTTCCTGCTGCTGGGTGTGGCCTATTATGCTAATGAGTTCCTGCTGGGAGTGGCCAACTTGGGAGCCAGCCAGAACTCCGTTCCTGCCCAAAAATAGCCCTGGCTAACGCTCGTATACAAAACAAAACGAAAAAGGAGGAGACTAGAGGGGGAAAGTTACAAGAAGGTGGGGGGAGGAATCCAGGCCTTACTCCAAGTTCAAATTTCAGAGTTCCCTAAATAGTTCTAGAAGAAGTGAAACTGAACCGGAGCCAGGGCAGGGGAAAGTGGTCTGTCAGTACAGTTCTAAAGAAGCATGACAAAATAAATCAGGAGAACAAAGTTTGAGTCCATTGGGGCACCTTTACAACCAACAACGTTTTATTCAAGGTATAAGCTTTCGTGCGCGCACACACTTCCTCAGATACAATGAAATGGAAATGACCAGTCCATACATATAGGTAGAGGCGAGTGAGCAATAAATTAGGATACAGCATAATGAAAATGTTGAACAGATTCAAGGACCAAACAGGAATAACAAGTTTAGTTTATATGGCTAACATTTGTTTGGGTTTAATTCCAGGGCGGGGGGGGGGGGGGAGACGGGGGCTCTAGTGAAGGAAATATGTCAACATTGGAGATTGATGGGCAGATGTACCGTTAATTGTGGGATCCAGAGTGTAATTAACTGAGACCCTGCCATTACACTCCATTCCTCTCCTCTCAAGCATGGAGGCGACCTTACAACATCTTCTTCTTTGAAGTGGGGGTGATTGGCTGTGTAGAGTTATCTCCCCTGTCCCCAGACCAGAGAAATACACAATAAATACAAAATAAATCAGGGTTATTGTGGGAAAGTGAACAACAAGAAAATGAAACCAAGGTATATTAAAGCACCCTAAATCAGAAACCAAAATGTAGGAAACAGCAAACTTAATTTTATTGAGTGCTGCTGAAGCACATAAAATACCTTTCCACAGATCCCCATCAAAGGCCCAAACACATTCTCAGAAATTCAGAACGGATGCAGAGACAATACTGAGTCAAGGAAACAGATAAGCAACCCGAGGAACATGGGCGGTATCCTGAGGATGTAAACATGATCAGGATTGGGCCTCTGGGCCCAGGTTCAGTGATTTGCTTGTCTCTAAGCAAGAAGAGGCCCCAGTTCAGTGGTAAGCTCTGGCTGGGGTGAAATATTTCTCTTGGTTGTTCTCCGGGATCAAAATAATTCTGTTCAGGGATCTGATTCCTGTTAAAATTCGCTTGAGAACTGGACTGCCTAACACGTTCCTGAATCAGATGCATTTTGTGTATCTGGATGCTGTTTATACAGTGGCCGTGAAGGGCAGCCCACAATCTTTACTAACACAGAAATGTTTGTCAAAGCCAAAGACTGGGATAAGGAGCTAATGCAGGCATCATGAAACTGTCAGCATTGGGGAAACGGAGACAATTCTCAAGATGTGATGGATGAAGTGGGGGGGGGGCCTGCCACCAGGATCTGAATGGAGACCAGTGCTATTTATCTTAGAGAGGATTTGGAGACAGGGTGATCAGGGAGATGGCCTGTTTGGGGGTGTCATCAAATTATCCCAGGAACTTTTTTTCCTTAGAACATTTGAAGACACAAAGCTCTATGAATCCATCAGCATTTGATTCAGGAAAGGTAAAATAAAATGTCATGATGGGTATTGTTTAAGTTGTATGGGAAAACAGAATAATAGAATCACAGAGTTGGAAGGGGCCATACAGGTCATCTAGTCCAATCCCCTGCTCAGTGCAGGATCAGCCTAGAGCATCCCTGACAAGTGTTTGTCCAGCTGCTGCTTACAGATGGCCAGTGAGGGGGAGCTCACCACCTCCCTAGGCAGCTGATTCCACTGTTGCATAACTCTGACTGTAAAAAGAGTTTTTCATAAGATCCATCCAATACCTTCCCACCTTTCATTTTAAACCCATTCTCGTGAGTTCTATCCTCTGCTGCCAACAGGAACAGCTTCCTTCCTATCTCTAAGGGACAGCCCTTCAAATGCTTCAAGAGAGCAATCATGTTCCCCCTCGGCCTCCTCTTCTCCAGACTGAACATTCCCAAGTCCCTCAGCCTTTCCTCCAGGCCCCCGATCATCCTTGTTGCTCTCCTCTGCACCCGCTCCACTCTGCCCCCATCCTTTTTGAAGTGAGGCAACTGGCTGTGTAGAGCCACGGAGGATATCCTAAAACAGATTCTCCATGTTCACATGCAGTATATCTCCAAATAACAGTTGCTGGGGTCCAAAAACATGGACCCCATCAACTTTTATTTGGGGACCATTTTCTGGTGGAAACATGGTGATTGGTTCTGATCCTGGAAGTTTCTTTTTGTGTTCTTGGAACATTTGAAGATTCCCATGTGCTCTTCCTTTCTGAAGCTACCCAAGTAAGTCATCTATCCCCAGGAAAACGGACACTTGGTTACTAGGAGCCCAAGTTGATTCATCACAGGTGCATCCAATTTAAAAAAGCTGATTTTATTCTTGCCATAACACTGGCTCTAATTCAGACATGCTTTCTGGAATCACACATTCTCTCCCATGCAATTCGTTTACAAAAATCCAGTAGAATCTTGAAGATCAACAAGAGTTTCAGGGTACAAGCCGTCAAGAATCAGAGCTCCTTTTTTATATGCAACTTTAGCGATAATGTACACTTGAACCAGTTCCCAGATCACAAGCACTGAGAGGGCTTCTCCCCTGTGTGAATTCTCAAATGTTTGATTAAAGCTGAATTGTCACAGAAGCTCTTGCTACACTCCGAACATGTAAAAGGCTTCTCCCCACTGTGGATTCTCAAGTGTTTCTTTAGGGTCGAGTTTTCAGAAAAGCTCCTATTACATTCCAAACACGTAAAAGGTTTCTCCCCGGTGTGGATTCTCTGATGCCTCGTAAGTCCTCTGTTATTAAGGAAGCTCTTCCCGCACTCGGAGCATATGAAGGGCTTCTCCCCGATGTGGATCTGCTGATGTTTGGAAAGTGAACTCTTCCCGCGAAACCTCTTCCCGCACTCGGAGCAAATGAAAGGTTTCTCCCCTGTGTGGATTCTTTGATGAATAGTCAGTTCGTCCCTCTGGTTGAACCTCTTCCCACACTCGGCACATTTGAAAGGTCTCTCTCCCGTGTGGATCCTTTGGTGTCTTGTAAGGTCAGCATTATTCACAAAGCCCCTGCTGCAAGTGGGACATTCGTACGGTTTCTCCCCGGTGTGGATTCTCTGATGTCGCCGGAGGTTTGAACGAACGTTGAAGCTCTTCCCACACTGTGGGCATTTATATGGTTTCTCCCCTGTGTGGATCCTTTTATGTAGAGTCAGGTGCGTGTTGCAACTGAAGCTCTTCCCACACTGCATGCAAAGATAGGGTTTCTCCCCGGTGTGGATTCGCTGGTGCGTAGTCAGTTTGTTCCTCTGACGGAAGCTCTTCCCACACTCTGAGCATTTGAATGACTTTTCCCCGGTGTGAACCTTCCAGTGAATATTAAATCTGGACTGAACACTGAAGCATTTCCCACACACGGGGCACTGGATCTGTCCCTTTCCTAGGTCTTCTTGCGCTTGAATTAGGGCTTTGTGGCCATCACCACCCCGAGAAGCAGAAGATTTGTTCCTTCTTATTTCTTCATTTTCTCTTTTCTGCTCTTCCTCCTCTTCAGACTGGGCACCTCTGAATGGGTCTCCTTCATTCTCACTCCTCCGCCCCGCTCCTGATGGAACACAGAGAGAACGGGTAAGGAGGGTTGCCAGCCTCCAGGTAGAACCTGGAGATCTCCAAGAATTAGAAGGGAATCTCCAGAATACAGAGATCAGTTCCCCTGGAAAACATGGCTGCTCTGAAGGGTGGACTCCAGGTCATTATACCTTACAGATGGTCCTTCCTCTTCTCCAAACCTTGTCCTCCCTAGGCTCCACCCCCAAATCTCCAGGAATTCCCCACCCTGGAGTTGGAAACCCTAATGGTAAGACTGCCTAGTTGACCTACAAATCCAGGAATTGTCCCAGTTAACATAAGAACATGACATAAGAACATAACATAAGAACATAAAATAAGAACCTAAGAGAAGCCAGTGTTGGATCAGGCCAATGGCCCATCCAGTCCAACACTCTGTCACGCAGTGGCCAAAAATGCCAAGTGCCTTCAGGAGGTCCACCAGTGGGACCAGGACATTTAATACAGCATGATTATTAGTATTAGCATTATTAGTACTACATTATTCATAAAACAGAAACAAGGTAAAACCAATTAACACATTAATAAGACATTCCCACAATCAGATGGCGAATAAATAACTAATCCCAATTCTAACTGCCGGCGACTTCACGGGCAGGGGGGGAAGAGGGGGAGGGAGATGTAAATAACAGAGGAGGGTGCCAGCCAAGATGGAACCATCATTGTCCTCAACCAAAAACCTGGTGGAACATCTCTGCCTTGCAGACCCTGCGGAATTGCATCAGATCCTGCAGGGCCCTGATGGGGTTCAGCAGAGAGTTCCACCAGGTTGGGGCCAGGACCGAAAAGGCCCTGGCCCTGGTTGAGGACAGCCGGATGTCTTTGAGGCCAGGGGACCACCAGCAGATTGCTGTCTGAAGAGCACAACGCTCTCCCGGGGACATAACTGAGGAGACGGTCCCATAGAGTGTAAACAGCAATGGAAGGGCTGAGGGGCACCATTGTTGGGCTGTGTTTAGGGCATGTAAAGGTAAAGGTTCCCTTGCTCGAAAGCCAGTCGAATCCGACTCTAGGGTTGCGGTGCTCATCTCCGTTTCAAAGCCGAAGAGCCAACGCTGTCCGAAGACATTTCCGTGCTCATGTGGCCGGCATGACTAAACACCAAGGCGCACGGAATGCTGTTACCTTCCCACCGAAGTGGTCCCTATTTATCTACTTGCAATTTCTTGCTTTCGAACTGCTAGGTTGACAGGAGCTGGAACTAGAGACGGGAGCTCACTCCGTCATGTGGCACACTCGGGTCTCGAACTGCTGAACTACCGACCTTCCACAGCCTGCAGCTCAGCGTCTTAACCACTTGAGCCACCGCAGCTCCTGTTTAGGGCATGAGTTGGGCCTTAATCTGGCCCTGTCTTCTGCCCACAACCAGTCCCTCCCTGGCTTCAGAGAGTGCACTGGGACCACTGTTAACTTTAGTCTGAGGGGAGAAGCGAGGAACCTTACCCAGAGAGGCCACCATCTCATAATTCTCCTCCATCACTTCCCCGTACAGGGCTCTTTGGCCCTGATCCAGCAGAGCCCATTCCTCCTCAGTGAAGCACACCACCACCTCCTCAAAGGACACTGGACCCTGGAAGCAGTGAGAAAACATTTACTCCTTGTGGACAACGTTGTCCTCCTTTCCCTTCTGACAGCAAATGTGGTTAAGTTCGGGTGTCCAGATGTTTGTGTGTAAGACTGAGCTTCCCCAATGGATCACCATGGCTTTCCCAGAGGCCACATTTGACAGAAGGGAAGTGTCTGGGGGCACAGGGGGCCACCACCTGAGAATCCCTGCCATACCTGATCTGACTGCCGAGGAGATGTTTCCTCCACACCACAAACAAGAGGAAATTCGGACCTTATAGCTGGCGCCATTCCAACTTCTGCTGGAGAAAGAAAGGTTGGGGAAGATGTTGCATTCTTTATCCACATGCTGTATTTTTATGCTGACCCTTTCAGTTTTTTACATTAGCCCCCAGCAGTGTTCCCTCTAAGCTGAGTTAGTGTGAGCTAGCTCACAGTTTTTTAGCCTCCGGCTCTCACTTTTTTGTCTTAGCTCAGGAAGGATGGCTGCAGAGCAAACTAGTTTATGCAGTAGCCAAATTGCTCGCTCACAACTCTAATGCCAGTAGCTCACAAAGTAGACGTTTTGCTCACAAGACTCCACAGCTTAGAGGGATCATTGGCCCCCAGTACCAGCTGGTATTCCAAGGTAGACTGCCTCTGAACATGGAGGTCCCATTTAACCTCCAAGCTGAAAATAATCAGTTCTTCAATTCATCTCACCCTTTTCAAAGGCCTCGTGGTCCTCATAAGACCATGGAGCAGAACTTCTCAGCTAGACCAGGCTCTGGGGCCATTCATCTCTGTCTGACCCATAGGGTTGTCAGCCTTGGCTGGGAAATACCTAGAGATCTTGGGGTGGAGTCTAGGGAGGGATCATAGAACCGTAGAGTTGGAAGGGGCCATACAGACCATCTAGTCCAACCCCCTGCCCAATGCAAGACCAGCCTAAAGCATCTCTGACAAATATTCATCCAGCCTCTTCTTCAAAGCTGTCAGTGAAGGGGAGCTCACCACCCCCCTAGGCAGCTGATTCCACCTCTGAACCACTCTGACCATGAAAAAGTGTTTCCTAATATCCAGCCGATACCTTTCTGCATGTAATTTAAACCTGTTGCTTCGGGTCCTATCCTCTGCTGCCAACTGGAACAGCTCCTTGCCCTCCTCCAAATGACAGCCTTTCAAATATTTAAAGAAAGCAATCACGTCTTCCCTCAATCTCTTCTTCTCCAAACTAAACATTCCCAGGGCCCTCAGCCTTTCCTCGTAGGGCTCAGTCTCCAGATCCCTGATCATCCTCGTCGCTCTCTTCTGCACCCTCTCGATTTTGTCCACATCCTTTTTTGAAGTGAGGCCACCAGTACTGCAGACAGTACTCCAGGTGTGGCCTGACCAAGGCAGTATACAGAGGGGCTATGATCTCCTGCGATTTCAATACTATGGCCCTTTTAATACAAACCAAGACTGAATTAGCCTTTTTTTGCCACTGCATCACACTGACTGCTCATATTAAGTTTACAGTCCATCCTTACTTCAAGATCTCTTTTGCATACACTACTCCCCAGAAACGTATCCCCCATCCAGTATTTGTGCTTGACATTTTTGTGGACCAGATGTAATACTGTGCATTTATCTTTGTTGAATTGTATCTTGTTTGCAACCGCCCACTTCTCCAGAATATTCAGGTCTTGTTGAATTTTAACTCTATCTTCTTGGGTGTCTGCTACTCCCCCCAATTTGGTATCATCAGCAAATTTAATGAGTAGCCCTTCTACCCCTTCATCCAAATCATTGATAAAAATATTGAAAACTACCATGCCCAAAACCAAGCCCTGAGGCACCCCACTGGACACCTACCTCCAATCTGATGAAACGCCATTGACCACCACTCTTTGGGTGCCGTCCTCTAACCAGTTCCCTATCCACCAAACTGTCGTATAGTCCAAACCTCAGTAGAGTATACTGCTATAGACTTAACCTTCCACTGGAGCCATTTTATCCAGGGGATTTCAGTAATCTGGAGGTCAGTGATAAGTCTGAGAGATCTCCAGGCAACCCTATGTTTTGGGATTCAATGCTATTAAAACACCATATCTGGCTAGGATTTTTTTAATGCAGACTGCACTGCTTTAGCTCAGCACTGAAAACATGAAGCAATCACAGTGTTGAAGTGTGAGAACGTCTGAAGGCAGTAGAATGTAAAGGCAGCCCATAGACTTCACGCATCCTTTAAAGGGAGAAAAACAAAGGGGAAATGGGCCCTGTCTATCCTTACCCAAGGAGGCAGCATCTTGGTCATGTTCCGGTATGATCCCCCTAAAGGGAAGTTTCTTTTCAGTGTCTGAATGGGCCTTCAGTACCTGCGGAAAACCAGTAACCAAGTCAGCTAAAAGACCCTGCGATTGGGAGGTAAGGGTGATTTTCACCAATTGCCCCATCGTCTGATGTTTCTGGGGGTTACTATGTCATGGAAACAGCATTCCAAGGGGTGTTTTGGGCTGCCTTGGGAGGGAATAATTGTCAAAAATCAGACACGCAGACACACACCCTGGCCCCCAATGCCCCTGTGCATGCAGAGATTCCAGGTGGGATCTAAGCCCACATGCTTGGTAGAAGTAAGAGCTCTAAAACGAAATACATGGCTTGTCAATGTGGAATGTAGAATTCTTTTTAAATGCAAGTTATATGCAGGTTTAGCTTTATATTGTATAAACAATGGTGATAAATACAGATCACAATTATAGTTGTTAAAACTGTCCACCCCAGTTTGCGCCTTGTTATGCATGTTACACCCTAACAAATGTGAAAATTAGCATCTACAAGTAGATTTTAGAGATAAAAGTAAATATGTTAGGTACTCTGTCGTCTTCTAATTAAACTTCATATTTAATATAAGCAATTTTCTATAGTCCAGCTGACAATTTTCTTGCATCTGTGGGTTGCTAAATTTCAAAAATACAGACTTGTAAAAATCACCTCTGTAATCTTTAGATAGTCTGCAATATAGAATTTTGCTATTTCACTATTACCACAAATTATTTTAAGTGGCTATGTGAATATTTCAAATTTACATAAAATATTGAGAGAATTTGTATAGCCTTCCTTATAATTTCTATTTTTAGATTGGGAATTGTGAAAACATATTACAGGGAAATAGTGTTATTGGTCATGTTATAATATTATAATAAGTTACTTGGGTTTATTAACCCATTTTTTTAATATTGTCTATTTGTAAAAAAGTACCTCACCCTTATTCTTTTCCCCTCATACCTTTTTTCCCCTGTACCTTATTTTTAAAAAATGAAGTTAAAAAACATATATTTCTTAACAATAGATAGTTTGTACCTGGCTCTTTGAGGAATATTTTTGCATTGTTTGCATACCTCATGCATACGTTTTTACTATTTTGGCAGCAGCTGCTATTATGAAGTAGTAGCAAGCTCCCATGACGCTGAAAACCAGAGCTCTTTTGTAGAAAAAGTCCAGCAGGAACTCATTAGCATAATAGGCCACACCCAACAGCAGAAACTCATTAGCATATTAGGCCACACCCCTGACAACACAGCTCATTAGCATATTAGGCCGCACCCCCACGTTACCAGAAGTGTGGTTATCCAGCCACACCCACCTTTTGTTTCTTATTCTGTTTACCCTGTTTGTTGTCAAAACCCAGGGCTTTTCTTGTAGCAGGAACTCCTTTGCATGTTAAGCCACACACCCCTAACGTAGCCAATCCTAATGAGTTTCTGCTGTTGGGTGTGGCTATTATGCTAATGAGTTCCTGCTGGGCGTGGCCAACTCGGGAGCCAGCCGAAACTCCATTCCTGTGCGTTCCTGCCCAAAAATAGCCCTGCTGAAAACTAGTTGTCGATTTGACAGTTAAAAGTGCTGCTTTGGATTTATTGGTATTTTCTCTGACAAAGATTCCAACTGACTCAATAAACAAAACAAAATACTATGCTCTAGCTTCAAATTTGTATTTTAAATCCTTCCTGGGTCAGAAAACTCAGATGATGAATACAGTCTCAATAAAACACCTATATCATGTTGTTGTTGTTTTAAAAAAAAGACCAGGCGATTGAAAGAGCCGTCAGGATCCCAGTTAAGTGAAAAAGAGAGGCAGATGCGCAGAAATAGCACAAGAAGTTCCAGCTGCGGGTCATTTTGAGGACAGGCCGGGACTGGTGGTGGAAAATGCTGCTAAGTCATAGCTGACTTTGGGAAACCCTGTGGGGTTTTCAAGGCAAGAGACTTCAGGTGTTTGCCATTGCCTGTCTCTGCATACAACGCCCCCCCCCCCCGGGTCTTCCTTGGAGGTCTCCCATCCAAATACTGACCAGGGCTGACCCTGCTTAGCTTCTGAAATCTGATGAGATCTGGCTAGCTCGGTCCATCCAGGTCAGGGCTCAGCTGCGACTACAGATGGGGAACTTTAGCACACCCCTGCTCATGTCCCATGCCCCACAAACTACCTGGATTAAACCCTCTTACCTGCTCTTCCAGCTTCTCATTTTCCGCCTGGCTGAGGAGGAAGCCTTCTGCCAGGGCCACCGCCTGGGAACTGGTCTCCGGTCCGCATTCCCTCACCCAGCTCTCCATCTCTGGGGGCAGGATGGCCAGGAACTGCTCCAGGACCACCAGGTCCAGCATCTCCTTCTTGGTATGCCTTTCTGGATTCAGCCACCGACTGCAAAAAGCGTGGAGTCGGCTGCAGACCTCTCGGGGCCCTTCGGCCTCCTGGTAGCGGAACTGCCGGAATCTCTGGCGCCGTAGATCTGGGCTGGCGGCTTGTTCAGCCTGCAACTTTGGCAGGGTTCCTTCCCAGAATCCCCCCCTGTCCCCCACCCAAGGCGCTTCCTGGGCTCTGCAGGCTTCGGCCTCAGCCAAGTCTTCCTTCTTTATCCTTTCTTCTAAAGGTGTCCCCCAAAGGGCCCTGGAACCCCCTTTTTCTTTGGCCATCTCTTGTTCTGCAGGCAAAGAGTGTCTGATTTAAAGGGATTGCCGCAAAGCACTTTATCCAAAATGTTCAGACTTGCAACCAAAGCAGAGCTCTCAGATGTGCTCTCTGTGTAAAAGAAGAAGAGAAGAAGAGATTGGACTTATACCCTGCCCTTCACTCGGAGTCTCAGAATGGCTTACAGACTCCTTTCCCTTCCCCACAACAGACACCCTGTGAGCAGTGTTCCCTCGAAGCTGAGTTAGTGTGAGCAGGGGTCGTTTCGTAGAAAAAGAGCTAGGGGAACTCATTAGCATAACTCATTAGCATATGCCACACCCCCTGACATCACCGGAAGTGTGTCATAGGGA